CAGCCAACAGGAGTGGGCAAACTCTGATTCGACATAGAGGGTAAATTGCAGTAGCTTCATGAGCCATAGTATCCCACAACAAATATCTACCCTCTGGATATTTAACATAGCTATTTAAAATTGCCATAGAAATAGTTGATATAACCATTGAGCATGGTGATTTTCCATAGTTTTTTGTATGTTTACCAGAGGGTATCATTATTATCCCACAACAAATATCTAAATCGAGAGAGAATCTCTGATCAGATCAGCGCCAAATGCTTGGCATCTTTGGTGCCAAGCCAAAGACTGACTTCTGGGAAGATGGTTCGGGATTTTCAGGAAGACTTTTTGGACTTTTTAGGTTGTTGTTTCTTGATTGTTTTTTTTTGAAACCACTTCGAATTGCTGTGTTGTTTGATACGCATTTATAGTTTGAAGCTGAAGGTAAGATCTGCCAGGACTCACAGCACGCACGTGGTCACGGGGTACTTTTTGCTCAGACATCTTAGCATCACGTATTCTTGATGGAGCAGAATGTCTCTTTCATCCCGCGAGAATTCCAGACATTTGAAAATGAACCATCTCCAGCAGTACTCAGAATAAACCTGAATGGCAACATGCTGACACAGTTTTTTTGCAGAATAGGTCTTTCTTTAATGGCTCAAAAAAATAGAACCCATGGTGCATGTTTATTTGATTGCTTCAGGTGTCTGCACTGGCGGTGGCATGCCTGTTGTTGTATGTGGCCCGGCCTTGTGGTTTCTGTCAGAGCCAAATTTGTTCATGTGGTTCCTTTGCTTGAGGAAGCCTAATGAAGCCTACTGACCTTAGAATGGGTTTATGACGTCATCTTCTGTTCTCAGTTTTGATACAAGACTTTACAGAAACAAGATCTTCTGCGAGTAGATTTTGCATCATTTTGCTTCAATCGTCGGGCAGCAGCTGCTCATACTTCTTCCTCAATTCAGGTAGTTCTTACCGTATTTGCGGTACTCAATGCCACTTGGACTTGCAGAATGGGGATCGGTGCGAAAGCGGCATCATAGGGTTGAAATTGAAGCATTTTAATCATTTAAGCATTGACATTTCCCAAGGAACAATGCTTATAATTTGTCGCCATCTCCTTGTTTTTAAGGATTTCAGGCATAGAGGAACTGCCATCCGTCAACGCTAGGACAATTCTGCTGCACTCTTCTCATTGGGTCCCATTGGTTGACACCATGTTTGGCCATGTTCAGTTTTTTTTTTGTGACTTGGAGAGTTTGTCCTATGGATTCACTTGGGACATTTCGAACGGTGGATCGAGATAAGATCTGGACGCAAAGTACTGGATCGACCGATTGGAACATGTTGTTTGTTCTTGCCGGATTTGCATGGACTTGCTAGAGTTTACTTCAGTACCTGAATATTCAGTATGTGCCGGTGAACGTCGAATATTGACTTTAGCAGCTACTGTATACTACGTTGTGCTAAATGGGAATAGCTGGCCAGCAAAACATGTCTTTTTCTGCATGGGATCTCAGATTGGCAATGGTTTTTATTCCCCCAACGAGTTTTGACCCATTCCCACCGACAGGTAGTTACTGGCGTGCACCTCGGTTGCAGGAGTCAGAAGCATGGGGTTGGCAGGAGTCAAAAAACCCGTGAGTTTGATGATTTTCCCGAAATGTTCCCATGATTTTCCCATGATTCTCCCATTGAAAACACCATATTTATACATCTTTTATAGCATTCCTGGCTGGCCACCGAAACCTTTCCCTATGACATCTCCACTCCGCCGTCTTCTTTGCGAAGCTGAGGTTTTGCCACACGGCCATTGAGTCGGCCACAGCGGACAAAGAAATCGTGGTGATGAGTCAGATGCAAAAGCTCTTTGGCAATGAACTGTTGTTAGGGATATTAGGCAAATGTTTATGATGATTGGTCACTATTCATATGGGGATATAATGGGATATGATATAACCGAATACATTTTTTTTGGTCAGGGATAGAGTAAGTTTCATTATGTTCTAGCTCCAAGTTACGCAAATTCAGAAAATTTACCTATATCATGAATCCATCGTACTCCAGACCTGTCTCTTTGGACCCATTGTTTTCCCAACCTGTTTCCCTGTGTGTGACATGTTTCACACCTGTGAATTGACTGGTTGCGGTGGGAAGACATTTCAGCTCGATTTGGAAATTGTTTGGCACCATGTCGATGCCTTGTGTTGCTCCTGAAATGCTATGGAGCCTGGATGAGCCAAAGCGTGCCCTGATAGGTGAGTTTCCCATTTTGGAGACTGAAGTAGGAGAGGGTTTCAAAATATTGTGTGACTTGTTTGTTGAATGGGCTGAATTCCTGTTAAACTACAACAACCAGCATCCGCTCTGTTGTTGAATTTGGGGAATTGTGGCCCAGAATCCTTCTCTCAGGGGATTTCCCGCCGCGCATACTCATGTGGCATCGCACTCGAGGGGTGTCATCGCACTCCAGAGGACCCCATCGCACTCCACATATATTCACAAATCTTTGTACTCCACAAAAGGCATAGTATACCAGAAAAACCGTCGCATACAGCCAAAAAACATTTTTTTGAAAAAATGAACCTGAAGAGTTTTTTTTTATTTTTTTCTCGTTGGAGGTAAAATGTTCTGGAATATGATAATATGGAATATGGGGGAAATCGTTGTTTTTCCAGCGTTTTGAAGAGTCGCGCATACAATCGTATTCCATCAAATTTTGATACTTTAGACCTATGCAGGCTATGGAAATCCTCGGTTGTGGTGCTAGCCGTGCAGGATGGAGTGTGATGCTCTCTGGGTATATGGAGTGGAATTTCTGACCCCAATTTGACCAAAAAAGATGTCAACATATGCTTGAGAATCCCACATGCAGGATTGGCAACGCATACCAGGGGGGCATCGTACTCCAGGGGTGGCATCCTACTCAATGTAAGTGTATTCAGTGGGAATATGGTACCATTTGGGTTCGAGGAAGAACAGCGAAATCCAGACTTGGCCCAGTTTGCGGATGCGGAAGCTGAACCGCCAGCCAAACGCGTCAAAAAAATAAGCTGAACAGCTTATCCAATGGTCTTAAAAGATCCTATAGAGAAGTTGATGATTGATGATAGAAACACAAGACTTTATGTTTATTCAAGAAATCATTGCTTGAGAAGCTGTGGACTCAAAGGGTCTTAGCGGGGTTAAACATGTGCGATTGGACATGACAGCACGTGCCAAGGGAAAAGGTGCGCCTGACAAGGGTCACACAACCTCATTCTCACCATCAAAGGTCGTTCATTATTTTCCAAATTTCCGGAACTATTTTGGCATGGAATATGAACAGCCTTGGAATATGGGTAGGATTTTGCTAGAAATGTATATATAATTGGGTTATACCCAACTATCTCAACTACTGGACTGAAGATTTTCAGTGCACCCAAGTTTCAGACTGGGCAGCTTGCCCGGATCAGAGCTTGACACGGGGTCAGATAGTGTCTCCAGTCCCCACAAATCTTGAGTCTTTCATGTCAGGGTGAGAATATACAATTAATATCGATTAATATAAATTAATATCAATTAATATCAATTAATATCAATTAGTATCAATTAATATCAATTAATATCAACTATATAATTAATACTAATTACACATACATATACTGTATATATATATTATTGTAATATATTGTAGATATACAGTCGAAACCCTCCTTGTCGATGAGTCAATGAGATGACATCCTTCCGCTAGTTGCTGTTCTACGGCCACTTTGGCCCCAGGCAGCTGCTTGTAAACAAAATACAGACCCTCAAACCATCCATACAGCGGCTAAATATGCTACAGGATATATCAGGATATTAACATATGCTAAAAGTAAGCAGGAAAACAGATATTAAAAGATACTAAAAGTAAGAAAAACACCACCACCAAATGTTTCAAGCATCAACTTCTGGTTTTGACACAATGTCGCTGTTGCCGAGGCAGGCAACACAAGCGGCAGCCTTGCGCGACATGTTCAAAGATTCTGGGTTTCACCATCACGGGCGCAATCAATACTGTAGCTACAGTTATCTCCAATGAATGGAGGTTTTAATTGGAAAAACATTGTAAAATCATCTATAAATGAGGGATTGTCCATTGAAAATCCTCTATAAGTGAGGAATGTTTCATGGATTTTCCATTGTAACGTTTGATTCCAGGAGGGACCCTCGCTTTGTCACAACTATAATATAGTATAGATAGCACCACTCATTTGGTTCGATGATTTAATGCTATGTTAAATTTTCAGAAGGTACATAGACTAGTAACATCAAGTAATCCATCAGTATTTTTAAGGAGGATTCTACTTTCCTCCATTTTTGGTGGTTGCTACACAGTTTGATTGTTGGGGTTGGTTAAGGGGTCATTAAGTTCGAGCTTGAGCCGCTCCATACATGGGTGAAGATGACCTTTCTGAAGGATGCCTAATGTTTGCCATGGGTTTTCGATGAATGTTTACGAATTTCACTACTTTAACATTTTTGTCAGAGGCACTTATATACCGTATATTACATTACCGTATATTATACTGATACCATAATAGGTAAACCATGTCTCTGTCTAAGAGTCGGTTGTCTCTCACTTTGTCAGGATTAGGGTTCATATTTGCATTTGATACTTTTTTCGAAGCTCCGACTGCCCATTGTTGCAGGATGAGGGGATTAACACCAAAGAGTGCATTACAAACAACCGTTTCGACCATTGGGAATGAGCAAGTTCTACGCACCTGAGTGCCTGTTGACCTTGAAGTGAAGCTTTAAACTTGCGGGGTGTGATATATATATATATATATTATATATACACACTCATGGTAATCTCATGGTTAGAGTCATTTTTGGGTCACATGTCATATGTTGGGAAACTGTCCCAACACATTACATGGGGAATCTGGGCAAAATTTTGTTCGGAACATCCAAAATATTGTTGTGGAGAAGTGAGGAAAACCTATCATCTTTTGCCACCTAGGAGGTTGAACATGGGTTTGTCCAGATGTAGCATTTGAACTTTAGATCTGTTTTACATGCTTTTACGATATTCACTATTTTCAAAGAAAGCTACTTGGACCCAGTTTGAGGACCCCAACACTCCAACCATCTACCCCATGAGATCCCATCAGCTTGTTATGCTTCATGTATGGACGTGTATGGGAATCTGTTCCAGCATGCCCTCTGGTAATTTAACATAGCCATGGTATAGATGGCCCATTTATAGATGGTTTACCTATTAAACATTGTGATTTTCCATATTATTGTATACCTCAAGAGCGACCCATCCGTGTACACAAATCTACTGCACACAGAGCACTGCAAAAAGGAAATCGATGGGGACGATTCTGGCATGGACTCTCGACCAAAAGGAGGGAGCTGCCCAGGGAAGCGATGAATTCAACAGCAAAAGGTTTGATCAGTTCCATCAAAATATGGCGACGTTTTCACTATCTTTCACTCAAATGAACATGGTGGAGGATCCACTTCTATGTTGGCTCTCTCGATTACTTAATACCTAGTTGAGTGACCGGTGAGTTTGCTTCCTTTCAGATGGGTTTGAATGAGAAAGGCTCAGTGATGGGAAAGAGGGGGAACATCGTCCACGATGTCTTGTTGTTGTTTGATCGAAACATGTGTATCGGCTGAACCACTTCAACGATTATTATATAGATGATTGGACGTCCAATTTGATGAGAACCCATGGGCCAAAACTTGAATCTTGAACCTCGAGTTTTGAGGGAATTGTCAAATATTGTGACCCACATTTCAACGCTCACCGCGCACCACTACCGCCAGGTGTTTGTGTGCATTACTTGTACCAAGAAAATTAAGTGAAACATATTGAAACATACTGAAACCATCCAAAATCCCAAAGTCTCATCTTATATATATATATACACACATACTGTATGAATCTGTATGATACTGTATGTATATATATATATACACTATATATATATATATATATATGTACATATGAACAAAGACCCACAAGGTTCATGAAACCTTTACATGAGAGGTCATTTGGTGGAACATGTTGCCCAAACCATGGAAAGCAATATGGTGAACTACTTAAATCGATCACGTGATTTGATGGTGAAGTTGAAAGGTGTTGGTGTGTTTCGCAGCCATGTGGGATTGTACAGTAACCTAATATGCATTGTTTTCGTATTCGTCGGATGTGAATCCAGGGGCTCCCAAAAGGCCTGGAGGTGCTCGCAAAAGGTCTAGAGTACGCACTTCTGACCACAGAACTTGCTGCCAAAACCTGTCACGACACAGGCTCTGGAAAGCAGAGACTGTCCTTGAGAAACAATCTTTCACATGTTTCCTGATTTTATCAGATGATTTTATCGACAACCAAATCGATAGCCTAGCGACAATCAAAAATTGCCAAAAGGCCCCCCGGGCAGCCAGAGATCCAATCCATCCCTGGAGTGGTGCATTTCAATTTTGCGTCAATGTCTTGAAACATCTACTTGGGGTGGTCCAGCTTGGCCTTGAAACCTACCATTGAATATAACTTTGATCCAAAGATCCAAGGAGATGAACAGAATCTGCAGAAGCAGAAGGCGCACAACAGTGCAAAAACCAAACTGTTCTGAGGGATCTGAGGGAAATTCCTTTCGCACTTTGAAGACAAACAATGGACAGCAGACTGCTGACCATGAAGTATATACCCCTATTGTTGATTCTGTGGAGGTCAATGGACATGGATCTCCAAATCAAAGGCCATTGTTTGACATGCTCCAAAACCTGTAAATAGATTTCGCGAACGACCTAAATCGATAACTTTTGCTCATGGCTGCCTTTGTGACCCTGGGTCTTGGTCCCCGCTGATATTTGCATATACTGTACTGTATTTTTATTTACATATGTATATACTGTATACATCTATATTTGTATACTGAACTGATTATACTGTATACATATATTTAAATATATACATATATATGTATACTTTTCACATTTATATATATATATACTTATATACTGTATACAAATATATTGTATAGATTTGTAGATTTGTAGATGTAATGATCATCAGTGATATATATATATATATGGTCACCGACAGAATTATGGAAGAAAAAAAACGTTTAACTTAGACAGGCGGCCCCTGCGTCCGATTTTTCCATAATTGGATTTTTCCCCATAAGGGTTCAAAATATCCCGGAAGTGATCCGAACCTTTTTTTTCCATAATTCTTGGAGGTGGCCATTATTTCCATAATTGATTTTTCCTGTGAAATCAGGGGGCTAGGGCAGATTGACCGGTTTTTCCATAATTATTTTTTCCATAATTATTTTTTCCATAATTAATGTTTGGGGCTCCACCTGTTGGACATGTCATGGATCCACAATTCAAACCCGTTTTTTTTTGGGGTTATGGAAATATGTATGCAAATGCAAGTATGTAGTATCAACCCAATTGGTGGCTTGGCAAAAGGAAACATCCAGATATTATGTATATCAATGGCAGGCTTTAGGGGCATATACCAGATCTTTAGACACATATTTTCTATAATTCAATATTCCCCCTTAAAATGCATTTAAATTGCGAACATCACATGATATTATGTATATCAGGGAAGACTTAGGGGCATATACCAGATCTTTAGACACATATTTTCTATAATTCAATATTCCCCCTTAAAATGCATTCAAATTGCGAATCGGTGGACATACAGTCACCGACAGAATTATGGAAACAAAATAATTATGGAAACAATAATTATGGAAAAAAAAAGGTTCGTAACTTTTCTATCATAGACAGGCGGCGCCTGTAAATTGAAACGTTTTTTTTTCCATAATTCTGTCGGTGACTGTACATATTAACAATAATGTATGTATGATCACATGATATCACATGGACATGCCTTTTTGTTGTCCCCTTCCCACGCATTTTTCTTCGCCCTGCCTATGCCTGGTGCGAAACCCAGGTGAGCGTACAAGAGTTGAAAGCTGCGTTGGAGACCAGCAAGATGTCCAGCTTCTTGGAATCCATGGACATCTCCACCCAGGACACTGGGACTTGGAAATGGTGTGAAGTGGGGATAGAGGTGGATTGCATTTTTGAGTATCATGAAATTTGACTCATTTAACTTAGCAGAATTTCAGAACTACAATTTTAGGTGCGCATTGTAGCTCAATTTTTTCCCATTGGTCACATCTGTCCTGTTGCTGCAGGATCTTGCAACCCTTTTTTGTCTGATTGACAGCGACCAGAATGGCCTGATCGACCTTGACGAGTTTGTCTCCGGATGTCAACAGCTGCATGGACCTGCCAAGAGCATACAGATTGCACGGATGAGCCACGAGAACAAGGTGGGGATGGACAGAAAACTTTGGAGGTGAGATTTGTGGAAAGGACATGGCAAACACCATTGTTAATGATGATTGATTCCTGTTGTTAGCACATATATATATATAATTATACATATAATTATATATAGATAATTGTATTTATATATTATATATATATTGTGAAAAATATATATATATATATACATAGTTATACATACATAGTTATATATATATAGTTATATATATATATATTTACAAATATATATATATATATAATCTAAATATAAATATGTTATTAAAAAGTGTCATCAGGTTATATTTCCAAATACCTTAATGTGATGAGGGAGGAAATGGGAACTTTCTAGGGTGCAACCGTTGGAACCTCGACCAAACCCATGTAAATCACACCGCAAATCCTTGGGATCAAGTGATCTTCAGCACAAGCGGGTCCTAAAGGTGGAAGTGCTTCCCCAGAACGGAATGGTCTACTAGGGCCATGAATTCATATGGGATGGATCATGCCATTGTAATGGATTGGGATGAACATCCATGCCAATCCTATCAGTATTGGCGATATTTTGTTGCGGAAGCAGGGGTATTCCTGACCCTCATACCCATGTCCCATCCTTGAACCATACTATACTAAGGGATAGGAATCAGAACAATGGTAAAAAACCCATGGACACCAGAAAAATGGGTTGCGCACTGCAGATTCTGAAGAATTAAAAACGTATACAAGAAAAGTGGAATTCCCTACCGTATCCATAGGGTCCTTAATGGTTTGATTGATTTTGTGTGCATATATGTGTTTGATCTGCTTTGTGTTTCAAGATGCTTCAAATCACACCCATGTTGTGTTCCCTTTTTTAGTGGTTCACTGTGAATATGATATCGATTTGACTCAAACTTTGTCAATCAGCGGGGAGACAAACACAAATACCTTCTGATAACAGTTTGCCATAGAAGATCACCATTTATTCGTTTGGATCTATAATGACTTGGCCACTATACCATAGCAAACTGTGAGAAAATCACCAAACTATAGAATGCATATATACATATATGTACACATATGGTATCCCCAATATACCACTAGATTTGGATCCTTTCGTCACAGGTGACGCGGCAAACCATCAAGAAACTCATCGCCGAGATTCACGAGCTGAAGGGAGAGGCGGGGAAACGATGGTAAATTATGAGATTTATATAGTAATCCATTGGGAATATATGCAAATATAATATATATATATATGTATATATGTATATATGTATATAATATAATATAATATAGTTCTCAAATCAAAACATGGGGCATGCGATGAAGATCCAGATGTTTTTGTGATCAAAACATAAGGAATATGCAGCTACCCCTCAAACATCCTAAAACCAAGCTAAAATCAGCTGAATATGATGCAAATCCATCGGTTGTTTCTGGGTTTCATGTGTATTTTATTGACAAATCCAAAGGGTTGTCACGAAACACTTGGGACGTCTTGGAAAAGATGGGTCTGATAACAAAACAAAAAAAACCGGGACATGTTTGGAAAGATGGGGGAACTCCAAAGAATTGGGAATTCCAGAGTGGCAATCCCAGTATCAGCCCCATGAAGATGTGAATTTGAACTCCAAACAATTCTTGAGGTCAACACAGAAACTCTCTCAGGGAACTACAAGCGGAAGGATGTTTGAGGCTTAGTCAATGAATCAAAAAAATCTAAAGAATCTTAAGATACATTCATATCATGAATGCATCGAAGCACTACTGTGAATTGGAAACAGTGAACAATAGCCTACCATGCCAGAAGGTGTTGACTTCGCCCATGCATTGCTGCAGGTCCAGCAATGGAAGCGCGACGTTTCAATTGCTGAATCCCTGGAACCTTTCGGCGACCAAATAAAGGAATGATATTTTTCATCACTGGCCAACGACATCAGCTTTGGACCTCAAAGACATGAGATGTGAACCATCGCCCATCATATTCCATAAAATCATTGTTGAATCTATACAACTAATATAATTATAGTTAGCATGTATATAATGGTGTCAGTTCTGATGTCAGCAAAAAATGATTTGAACATTGAGATTGACCGTTTCCTGTGACAGAAGTTCATTACCAGCTTTATTCGGCATGAAGAGGGATACAACTTGTACAATCATTTTCTCCAACCTTGAAACACTCCTGAAAAGCCTGGAAACCATGGTTTCGTGATCTGTTCATTTTGGGGCCCATATGGGCTGAACTTTCAGGGGAAAGGGATGATGACCGGGCAACCCATGGGTAAGGGACCCTACATAGCTGGATTGTTTCTAGTAATCATCTCATACATATATAATATATTTAGTTTCTGAGGGTTTAAGAGTACTTGATAGTAGTTGATATGTTGGGTGGTTGAACCATTGATTGATGTTGTTCTCCGCATTGGTTGCCCCGCTGATCGAATCTACCACCGCACAGCTGATCGTGATAGCCATGCCGGTTTCACAATTGCCATCAAGTAATGCGGAAGATAATAAAGTTAAATTAATCCTCAAATTCTTGGGGTAACCTATTTTTCGACAATGTATTCCAGTGGCGTCCGGAGGTTGTTTGTATTCAGCAAGAGACTTGCTCATTGTTGGTTGCCGGTGCCCAGGCGGCAGTTGCGGCGTGTATGTTTCGAGCCGCGAAAGGTCTCCATGTGCAGTTTGAGATAGTTTAAAGTGGATTCCCATCATTCCCACGTCATTGGTACAGCAGGTGACCGTACCTTCCATTTGAGGTAGGAACCGGGATCCCAAAACGCTGCGGATAGAACTTGGTTGATGTGTGGCCAAGATAAAACCATGGAAACCTTTCACAAAGACGGCGCGGCTGCTGTGCAAGCAGCTTGTCTCACAACAAGACAACATCGTCAGATCGACGTTTCGTTCAGGCGTTGCGAGGGCACACTGCTCCTCAAAGGAATGCAGTTGTGAACTTGCTTTGTGGTTGGACATCTCAAATTTTGCCACAAAAATGGGAGCAATAGAGGTCTGCGGATCAAATGGCTGGATTTAGAGACTCCAAATCAGGGGTAGCATACTTACATTCCACCATAGCCATAGCCATCCATAGCTATTCTTGCAACACTTCGTTGGCATCACTTTGGGATGCTCACTGGGTACGATCTATGCGTCTCATTTTATTCATCATCTCTTCAGCCCCCAGAAAAGATAGCAACGTTTGCGAACATCACGATTTTAGGAGTGGATTTCCCCAACTTCTATCTTTTTTATTGTGTCATACATGGTAGTTATATATATATATATACAATTAAGATTCACCAGTGATTCCCGTAGGACTCTTCAATATCCCATTTCTTTTTGGAAGAGTTGCTATAACTTTGGAGGTTACCTAAATCATGGGTATCCCAAGGGTATCCCAAATCATCCAAAGTCCACCTTTTTAGTAACCGGCCCCATTGATCAGCTCATCTGCCGACAGGACAACCCAGGCTTTCTCTGGACCATCGAGATTCCCTCGCAGTACTTCGGCGCGCGGAATATCCAGGCGGGCTGGCGACGACGCATGACGACGCTTGCAGTTGGTGGCCATAGGGGGCCTATGGTCAAAGCGGTCAAAGCCGAAAACGAAATGAAATACACATGTTGAGTTGGGTATACCAAAGCAATTTCCAGACGAGCCCAACTTGATCAAAAAACAGTTTTTGATGGTCAATGGTTAAATCATCATGTTTGATGGTGAAATTGTCTATTCTTGCTGGTTCAATCCTTTAATCTTACTGGTTAAATCATTTGAATCCTCATCTTGGATTGTTAGATCCTCACTACTCATCTTTGCAAGATGGGGATCTAACATTCATGGGCATCTTCCGAATGAAAATTGAGTTTAGTTGTGTAACATTATAGTGTAACGTTATAAGTTATAACCATCATCCAACGTTAAATCCCTATTTTTCATGATTTTTCGCTTACACATTGGAAAGTCCTCACTCTTCACCGTTACGCTTCAGAGCAGCTTACGTGCCGCCTCAGGACGTCAGCTCCAGGTGGCCTTGGAGGGATGGGCAAAAAAATCACCGTGAAACGCGGACGGTTACGCGATGTTAAATTACCAGAAGGTATCATACTGGACATGGATAATAATATGTTATAATACGTTATAATATCATATCTAAATATATCATATCTAAGTTTATCTAATATGTAAATGTCACACCATTCGACTAATATAGAATTTGTCCGATGTACAGTCATATTTCTATTGCAGAAATCATGTACAGTATTGTACAGTATACCATGTTAAGTCCAGTCACAAGACAAAAATCAGCCAAATTCTGTGTTGCTCTGTTTGTTGGGCCCAGGCCCAAGTTGACATCCCGGATGGACCCCACAAAACTGCATATGTTTTGCTCTTACATCCCTAGCACAAACACTCCGAAATCATTAAAAATCCAATCAAGGGGAGGTCCCAGGTGTTAACCAAAAATGGGGGATACCCCAAAAATTGCAATTTGATGGTGGACATCGGCGGACACAATGACAATAGATAAACATATCGTATAATATACCATCTGGTTTTTTAACATAGCCATGGTATAGATTGCCCATTTATAGATGGGTAGACGGATTGTAGTTGACAGAACCTCAACGGAAGAGTATGCTTTCACATGATCCTGGATCCAGATTCCATACCATGAAACAGAATGCAAAGTCAGGGCCGTTCAAATTGGTCTTCAGGAAAACGTAACAGGGAAGGAGGTATTTGATGCTTAAGATCATGGCTTTCTTGGTTCTCGAATTGTAGAGATACTTCACCATGAAAAGATGGGATTGGAAAACCATGGCAAAGACCTTTGTTCGAGAAGAACAAGTACTGGGTATACATATGTTGCCTGCACTATTTTCTTTGGGGGAAGTGACATTTTTCACCATTGTTCCACCCAATAGGTTCCAGGACAAAAACTTTTCTGGCACAAATCTCAGCAAATTGCAGAATGTCCGGAAGGGTTTCATGAATTAGATAGGCCATGGAGTGAGTTAACTGCTTAGTCAACCCTTCAAGTGGGTGCGTAGTGGCTTATAGCAGATTTTATAGCAGATTTACAAACTAGTTAACTACTCCATGATCCATCGAAGAAGATAAAACAAACAAAAAAAACAGTCCTTCTATCTATCTTCAGATAAGACCCATATTTCACCATCCAATTTTTGCCATCCAATGTGGATGCCAGCGGCAGGTCTAACGAGTCGGAGACGCTCTTTCCGCCCTACTCTTCCTTCAGGGTGTCTGACGAGTCGGGGGATGGTGACCAATATTTACAGTAATAATCTTTACTGTAATTTTTTTAGTGTATGTCAATAAGATCATAAACCATTAAATATCATCAATCAATCAATCAATCAATCAATCAAACATAATTAAACCATTAAATATCATTAAATATCATCAATCAAACCATTACATATTTTAGTGTATTAAGGGTAAGTCCATTTTCAGACAAGCCGATAACGGGAAATTGGAAGATGATCATCCAGAAATCAGTGGAGATCCACCGATTTCATCAACACTGGGGATGGGTCATGGCACCTGGTACCTAGTGAACCCCAAGTCATAGCTGGGATTTATGGATGTGAATAACCCACTAAAAATGTATCTATAGGTATTGATCCATACCCATATAGGAAAATTATAGGGACATATTTTGACATATTTCTATAAACGCCCGAACGTCCTTTGTTGGTGATGAGATTTTTTTTGTCCCCAGTTTGCTAGAACGGCCATAGTCACGTCCCATCATCCCATCTACTTCCCATCTCTAGGACCAGTTTATTATCAATGCAGCATGGTTTTTTGAAGTTTGCCACGGAGCATATACTGCAATGATTCTAGACAATTCGACTGGGGGGGTTAATATAGATTAATGCCAACACCGGATTAATAACCCCCCCCCAGAAGGTCAGAACTCTACCTTGTGGAGCCCCCCTTAAGCCCCCCTTAATAATAAGCACCTCTGAACCATAAAATTTTGGATATGGCTTACGTCAATTGGCTGAAAGCTATGGGGGACATTGGGAATGAATGGGCAAATCCAAAGAAAAACCATTAGGGACATGGTGGTTGATTAATCAGGGGCAAACCCTGATTATTATTAATGGGGTACATGGGCTCATGGGGTACCCTTTGGGAGCTATCCAAACTGATGATTTTTATAAAGAATTTAATTAGAAATCGATCGTTTGGGGAATAGTTGTTTTTCAAATGTTCAATGATCAACAGTGATGGGTTCTGGTGTTCATGCGGTTTCAACTTAAATATATATATATATATATCATAAGGAAACCATAAGGAAACCATTGGAAACTTTTGGATAAACAAAGATGGATTTCAGCACTGGTGGTTCTTTAATCGGGGGTAGGCCAACGTGTTTATTAATCTGGGGGGACCACCTGGTTTTAAATTGCAAAAAAAATGGGCAGTGGTGGTTGATTAATTTGGAGGGGTTAATGAATCCTGACTAGACCGTACTGAGAATGGAGCTGAAATACCGGTTACTTAACCCAATTTAGGTGATGTTTCTAGGGCCTGGTACCCTGGTGAACACTGTTCGAACAGCCAGTTATATGGATGGCCGTTGTCCAAATGCTGAGATTTGGGACTGGCCAGGATGGGAAGGGGGGAAAATCGCCAGGGCCACATGAGAAACCCATGCTTTCCTGTAAGTCCTGCGGCCAGGTCTTGGAAGTGAGCCAAGACAGGTGTCGCCTGGAAGCCTTGCCATGGGTCTGGGAAGACTACAGCGGTGAGGCACCTGGTGGGAGATCCTGGAAGAAGGATTTTTTGGTGTTTTTTTGTTGGTGCTTGGAGAGGTGGGAAATGATGGGAAATGGTCGATTTCATCATCATTATCATCATCATCATCACC